GTGTTTGATGTTAAACGTCTGATTGATCTTGCAAAAAATTTCAAGATTGCATTAATTGGTAGCAGAAACGAAGTGAATGGCGTGCTCTTAATCCAGCTAGAAAGGGATTGCTAGCTCTATATATATCGACTAGTCATTTTCCATACCAGGCTAGCTTGTTAATATCACCGAAGATCGAGGGATATATCTTCGATTAATTCGCATGCATGTCCAAACACTATTAATCAGTCACTAAACTTGTCTTATGTGCATAATGATCATGCCTCACACTTATATAGATTGCAATCAAACAAATTTACCACTATATATGTAGGACAGTAGGAATCTTGTCCGTCTCTCAATCACACAGTCACACACAGATTAATGGTGTCTTTGAATTAATGAGCACTAGTAATGCCCAGAGAACAACTCTGATGCAGATCTCTATTCGCGATCATATACCCGCAGATCTACGGCAAAGCTAGCTGACACTATTTTTTTTTTCAATCTAGTAATGATCTAGAAGGGTTTGTCTGCAGCCATTTGTCTGGTGAAATCAATGCCATGAAATCCTACCGGCCTAAGCTAACTCGAAGAATCATGCTTATACGGGATTAATTAATAATTCCTGCCGAGAGAATTGGCCCATGCATATATGCTTCCTTAGTTTATCCAACTTGATTGGTATCTATATAGATATTAATTAGAGCAGGTACAATAGCAGGCTATAAGCCAGCTATAACCACGTATTAAGAAGAAAAGAGAAGAGCGAAAAAAACAGGCTACAGATTTATAGCCAGCTGCAACACGGACTCCAAAACGTTATATGTGAATGAGAGATGTGACCGAGTATTAATTTGTAATATATTTTTATAGTTAACTATTATATGAATGGGCTATTAGATTAACAATACTTCCTCCGTTTCACAATGTAAGACTTTGTAGCGTTGCCCACATTCATTTAGATGTTAATGAATCTAGACATATGTATTTAGATTCATTAACATCTTTATGTATGTGGGTAGTGCTAAAAAGTCTTATATTGTGAAACGGAGGGAGTAGATGATTTGAAGTCAGTAGTTGATTACACTATTAAACTTGCTCTTATATGCACATATATAGGCTATGCCTCTTGACCCATCTTATAAGTAACCAGCATTATGATCACTAAATACCAAATCCATATATATCTACTAGTGCCATGCATGCATTCAGCTTGAACGAAAGATGAACACGTACGGAACATAACATGCGTATGTACAGCGTGTTGCTGAGTTAATTAATTGGATGCATGGTGCCTAATGGTAAGCTATCTAGGAGGAAGCAACACTAGCTTAATTAATTAAGTTACCCATCTGTATAAAACCAATACGCCAAGATTAGCACACTGTTGGTTAACCTTGACATGTCATCCCAATGCATTGTTGAAGCACAGCCCATGGATGTTAACTAGATGCTAGATAAGTTCAGTGATCAATACCAAATCAACTGTTGGTTACTTACCTCATTGTTGACGCACAGCCAATGGATGGCAACTTGATGCTAAATCAGTCCATTCTTTAGCGGGAAATGCTGCATCAACTATCTGTTACTTACTGAATTAGTCGTCCAAATGACCCTCGACTAATAGCAATTTCTGCCAACTAAACACAGCTGGAGCGCAGGTTACTGCAATGTACAATCACATCATCTGATCACATATAGTGTGTACTTACAAGAGGATTCTGAAACAAGATTACAGGGGGTGCAGTTAATTATTAGGTCTGGTTTGGACAGCTCGCAATTCAAGTTTTATTTGCATTCGAATCCAATGTTTCAGTAGTGGTTACTGTTCATACAAATATAGATAGCTAATTAATGAGATTAAGAAACTAATGTCCATGGCCCAAACAGATGAATGTTATCAAGCTAAGCACATGTGACTGTTCATTAGAGTATAAACAAGTGTGTGTATTTTTGTTACCCCTAAAACAGCTAGAGAACCTAGAAGAGCAAGTGATATGTGGCTGTGGGCACAGCATGCAGAACCTATAGCCAGTAGTTCAATTCTGTGAAACCATGAGCACAAAATCGAAAGTGAATGAATAAACATTAATTCTTGGGCTGCAAAGAACTTGGCAGCATCCACTTTCCAAGGAAAAACAAACAGCACTGTCATCTGAATTTTAAAGCAACTTGGAGGAACCAGCTAGTAATCAACATGAACAAGAGCAAGACTGCCCCCACCAGAAGCTTTACCTGTGACCCTCTCTATTTTTCTGTTTGCAGGCACACACTCCCCAAGCCGCCCTCCGGGGTCTCTTGCCTGAAGATTGACTAGCAGATGAATTCTAGCGACTGACACAAACGTGAGAAAAATATAGAGACAGATGGAAACTTATCTATATTTATGCAGCGAGATGTTAAAATAGAAACTATAGCTAAGCTGAGAAACTTAATTAGCATAACAGCGTTGTTTATTTGTTGGATAAGGCTTGTGCTTATCTACATCTTTCTCTTGGGTTGGCCAGCATTGTGATTAGTTTTTTTTTTTTGGTCCATGGTCCACAAACTACATATTAATCAAGGGAAGAAATGCAAATATACACATACAGTAGTTGAATATATGAGCGTGGTGTAGGGTTATACTCCAGATCATTGAAGTTGTTATCCAAGCTGAGGCTGAATCAACTTCTCATTTTTATCATCCAATAAGAGACCCTGTTTGAGAGCTCGGTCCAGATTATAAGAAGCAGCCAGTAAATATAATCAGATGACAATAATATGAAAAGGTTAGGTTTTCTAACCTCTGATGTTTTGGTCATTTTCTAGATTGTATAACTGCAAATACTTAAATCTAAGAAAAATTCTAAATTATCTGAAGTAATCGTGGAGATTTTGAAAGAAACTGCAACCAGAAGCTGTGACAAAGACAAGAGCTTCACTCTCAAATGCAGCCTAAACTTGAGGTCCATGTGCTGAGGTGGAGGACCAAGATCAAGGAGTCAGAAGCACAGAATCACAGATGTACATACACCCAAGTGAAGTGATGAGAGAGAGGAGAGAGGGACACGTGGGCCAAGGGCTGCAGACTTGCATGCCAATGTATAGATGAGCAGGGGAACCTGACACGGTCTCTGCTGCCCTCAAAGCCGTTTTCGATTCAGACACACCTGTGGGTCAAACTTTGCCGCACACCCCCTCCCCCAGCCTCTCACTTCTCCATCTTTGCTTAGCTACTGGGATCTCCTGTGCCTGCCATCAACCCACACAACCATGTCATTCATCTTATCAAAATCTGAATTATCCTCAATACAGGATACATTGTTCAATGTAACATTCATAGCACTGTAAAATATCCAATTCAGTCCTATGTTCTTATATTTTAGAACAGATGGAGTAATTCTATATGGTCATGTAGCTTAACCAGGCTGTCAAAAAGCTCGAGCTTGACCAAGTTCAAGCCAAGCATACTTGAAAGCTCGATGGTGAAATTGGATCGTCTCGAGCATTTGTTGAGCTCAAGTTTATACATCCAGGCTCACTTAAGCTCGACTTGTTAGTTGTTACTACCTTCGGCTAAATGAATTTATTTTTCTATAGAAATATGGATATACTTTTGTTTAGATTCGTGTAACAAATGTTTTTTTTTAAAAAGAACAGAACTACCACCACTTGATAACAAGGAGGAGAAGGCAGAAGCAAGAATCAACTTGTGCAGTTGCTTCTACATATGAAATCATCCACAGATGATCTGCACTCAGCTGTTGCATCCGGTTCCTATGCACTGGCCTTCTTAGGAGGCTATTAGAAAACAATTAACAAATGTGTCACAGGATTTCTTCATATTCTAGTGGCTACTAGTACTAGACTAGGAGTAGGAGTCCATGAGGGAAGGGCAGGGCCAGACAATGAGGAGGAGATGAGCTCACTCTCAGCACCAAAGTTTGGCCATGCCCAAGAGTTTCTGTGGAGTCTGATGAGTGTTTGTTTGGTTGAGCCTTTCAAAGTCTGTGCCGCAATGGCCATCCGAAAAGAGGCTTTTGGATCCTTCCTCCTTGATTTATTAACCTCCTTCAGAATGGCATTGGCATCTGTTATTTTGGTCTGCACTGAACCTCAAGGTCGTAATAGAGGTATACTCCTGTATGCTACTACTACTGCAGTATAATTATCCTGATAAGTCCTGAACAATAAATCTCTCTAATCCTTTATAGAGTTATAGGGCTTACTCGGGGAGTTGCTAGCTGGTGTAGCTTCTCCTAGAATCAGAAGTTTCCTCAAACAGTTCAGCTTTTAGTTCAGATTTTGAGAAACAATAGTTATATAATCCAGAAAAATGAATAAGCCACAAGCTGAAAAATACAGCTTTTTCCAGATCCTCATAAACTAGTTACCAACCAACTACTTCTTAAAATCTTAAACTCCCTAAACAGACCATAATATGCGTTAAGAAAGTGCTTAATTTAACACATTGAAGAGTGTTATTCAGAGGTTCTTTTGCCCAGAGGGATTTAGTAAAGTGCCCCCTACTACTGTATATGGCTTCTCATAACACTGTAACTTTTTAGCACCAAAAAAAACACCCCTCTTCACATGGGGATATCATATTTTAGCGCAAGAATAAAAACTGATCTTTATGTCCAATGGACTTATCATATCTCATGTCACTCGCCTACTACTACTCATCACATACTAATAGCTCCCTAGTACTAATGAAAAGACATTGTAAACACACAAGGGAAAATAAAAAAGGGGGAGAGAAGTGATGAACTATAGACACAGCAGGAGAAATACTGATCCCCTACATATCACTGTTATGTGACCCTACTAGACCCCCTAGGGCTCACAAGCCACAATACTACAAAATGGGATTGAGAACCTCCCCAGTGAGCAGTAAGTACTATAGCAAAATCTAAAGGAATTAAAAAATAAAGAAAAGGAAGAGAGAATGGAATTGAGACAAGGGAAGTGAAAAGGTATGATTCCTTTCCAATCCAATCCCATCCTAGAGGCTCCACAGGGTCCAAACCAGGCAAATGCATATGCACCCCCCCTCCCTAATCAAATCCTTAATACCACTGTTCATCATTTATTACAGGGAATAATTGTCTCCTACAAACTCCTCCATATATTAATCCCCCCCCTGTCCTCTCACCTTCTCCATCCCCTCCATTTCACACCAATAACCACCTGTGCAGCTAGCTAAGCTGTGCTGCTGTGCTCTCTCTCTCTCTCACACACACAAGCAATCTTAGCTAAGCTATAGCTGCAGCTGAAGCAAAGCAAAGGGAAGAAGAGAGGAAGGAGATGGAGCTGGATGAGCAGGCGTTCTTGGAGGAGCTCTTCTCGCTGAGGAGGGACGCGTGGGAGTACAATGCCATGGGGGACTTCTTCTCGCCGGCGTGCGCCGCCATGGACGGCTTCCAAGAACGGCACCAGTCCACCACCACGGTCAGCGTCCTCCCCACCTTCACGGCCTCCTACGAGCAGCCGCCGCCGGCGCCGGCGGCCGGGTTCGACTGCCTCAGCGAGGTCTACGGCAACGCCGCCGCCGCATTCGGGCCCAATGCCGGCGGCGGCGGCGGCGAGTACGGCGGCGGCGGCGACATGGGGTTTCTTGATGTGGTTGAGCCCAAGGCGAGTATGGTGGTGGATGGCGGCGGGCTCGGGGTGTGCAAGGTGGAGCCCGGGCTGCAGGCGGAGGGCGGGTTCAGCGCAGCGGCGGCGGCGCCGGCGTCGAAGAAGAAGAGGGTGGAAGGGATGCCGTCGAAGAACCTGATGGCGGAGCGGCGGCGGCGCAAGCGGCTGAACGACCGCCTCTCCATGCTCCGGTCCGTGGTGCCCAAGATCAGCAAGGTATATAGAGTACTTAGTGAATCATTTTGTGTTGCGATTGGGATTGCGAGTGCGAGAGAGATGAGATTAGATGATGTATGTGTTTGCGAGTAGATGGACAGGACATCGATTCTTGGGGACACGATCGACTACATGAAGGAGTTGCTGGAGAGGATCAGGCAGCTGCAGGAGGAGATCGAGGAGCAGCAGCAGCAGGAGACGCCCGGGGTGCTCAGCGTCTTCAGGGAGCTCAACCCCAACGAGATGCTGGCCAGGAACACACCCAAGGTAGCTGCATCCATCCATTGCTGGATATATAATGAGGAGGATGATGGGATTAATGGAGTTTGTGAGGTGCAGTTCGATGTGGAGAGGAAGGAGGGGGGCGACACGCGGGTGGAGATCTACTGCGCGGCCAAGCCAGGGCTGCTCCTGTCCACGGTGAGCACGCTGGAGACGCTGGGCCTCGACATCCAGCAGTGCGTCGTCAGCTGCTTCAACGACTTCGGCATGCACGCCTCCTGCTCCGAGGTTCTTCCTCCTCTTTCTTTCTTTCTTTCTTTCATTCACCTAATTACTATTAATCTTTCTTTCTTCCTTTTCTACTATAGTTGTTACTACTACTAGTGCAATGGATGAAATGCTGAAATAATAATGATGTTGGTGAAATTTCAGATGCAGAGGGAGAGGATGAGCGCGGACATGATAAAGCAGGAGCTGTTCAAGAACGCCGGCTATGGAGGAGGATGCTTGTAGAGAGAGGACACCGAGAGCAGCAGCAATAAAAGTAGCAGCAGCAATGGTAATAGTGGTGGTAGCAGCAGCAGATCGAGCAGAAAGAAAGAGAGAGGGTTTCAGAGTTCAGTGTTGTTGAGTAGTAGGGCAGGAGAGGAAAAGGCAGATTCGGGAGGCCTTTTTGCAATCCATCTCCCCCATCGTTCCTCGTAACCATGCAACGCAATACTACTACATTACATTACATGTGGTTGTGCCCGTCTGTCCATGAATCATCATCATCAATCAGACTCTTTCTTTCTCTTAACAACTTTTCTCTTTTAATGATTGATCTACTCGCACTTTTTTTCGCCATCCCTAATGTTTCTTCTTATATTAATTGTTTCCTAGTATGTTCTCATGTCCCTCTCTCCTGTATTCAAGAAAGGGCTTGGGACTCAAAAAAGGATTAGTGGTGTCACTCCTGTGTTGTTATAATCACCTTGCCAAATTGCAATGTACCGATGGCCCTGTTAGTGTGTGTATGGAGTATTTTTGTTGCATGGCCAATGGGCACACAGCTAAGCTAAATTAACCTCATGCAATGGAATATAATGCAGTAAGTAATTAAGCTCACGTCGGTCGCTAGCAGCCAGCTTGTGGCTGTCACGTACTCATGTGTCTGACGAGTCTCCGTCGTCCGCTTTGACCTGCGCACTCCCGACGGATTCCAGCCGCGTAAATCCACAGCTGAAACGCCCAACCTCCATCTTTTCTTCCTACTTATTGGATGGATGGGAGATGAGAAATTCACAGGACATTGAGATTGAGAGAGACTTGCGGTTGCAGCACACACAGTCATCAGTAGTCTCTCTCTCTCTCTCTCTAGTCCCAGAGTGAGCTATTTGTTTCTTGTGTCTCCCCTGGGTCGCTATCTCTTGCTTGCTTCCCTGCATAAATTCCATTTTCTAAGGGGAGAAAAAGATTCACCACCTAAGCAGATCGATGCCCCTTGTCTTATCTCTTGGCCTTGTTGGGTTGGGGACCAATTTCTCATCACCTTCAAATGCCCTCATTAGCAGGAGGGTCTGCACATCATTGACCCCTAATTTATATTTGTCCAATCAGGCCGACAAAGATCCGTCTCCTGCCTCCGTTTTTCTTCATCTTCTTCTTTAGTTACTCCCAATTTCTAATGCATGCCATATGCCCTCAAGGTAGCCAAAGGTTCATGTTATTAATCTAGTATATATAATGTATTTTACTAGTAAAGGGAAAAAAAATAATGCACGCAGCGACCACTTTTGCCGGCAACAGCTACCACCACTTTTGTGTGGTTGATGGATGAAACTTGCAAAAGTTGGGTCAATCTAAACTCCAAAGTTTGTAGCTTTTCTGGGCAGCACTCCAGGCCAAAAAAACTAACGCCTTTTTCAGAGCAAAAGATAATGTCAGGTTGGCAATTAAGCTAGGGTTCAGAAATCACAAGCAAGCAATGCAGCTACAGCTACTCTTACTGTTAGCGAGAGAGCACGGTCTGCAGGTTCCGTGCCATAAGCTCCCAAAACCCTTCAGGCTCTTCTGGAAGAAGATAACAGCGTCAGGTTTGCAATTAAGACAGGGGTTCAGAAATCACGAGTAACGCACTCACGCAACTGGTCTTTTTGCAGATGCGCAAAAAAGGTGCAAAAACTCTGAACTGGGATGACAGTGTCAGGCTTGCAATTAAGACAGGATGGTTCAGGAGGAATCACGAGCAACGCAATTACTACTACTCGTTAACAGTGTTGGAATGAGCACGATATGCAGGAACAAGATGACATTATCAGGATTTGGTATTTAATATGGCTACTTTGGGCATGTGGCTGGAGTACGTAACAAAAATAAAAAAAGGGTTTGGTTTGCCAGGAGGGCAAGCAGAGGCAGCTTCTGCATTTGACGGGGTCAGGTCAGAATTCAGATCAGGGCCATTTGATTATCATCAATCAGTTGGTACTCCAGTATGCATGGTCACAACTACTGTATTAGGCGCGCACTGCACGGTTGCCGCGCAACGCCGGCGTTTCGTGTCCAAGCATGGGATGGGCAGGGAAGGTGTGTGTGTGCTCATCATCTTGGATGTTGAAGATGCGCTCAGCTGACGCGTATGCCGGCCGCCCCACAGGCTCACAGGCCACATGCCAATGACGATGGACGAGCGCTCGTGATGATCTGAGCTCTCATCTCACCATGGTACTCCGTCGCCATGATCACCATGACCTCGGCTGGGCTACCAGAGATCCATGGATTCATCATAGGGGGATTCACCTATTCATTCATTACGGATACTACACTTGTGTGGGAATGAGTGTTGGCCATGACTTGTTCAGAGTTTGTTTGTGCTGACCTATCAGTCATGCTGGAGGATGATCAGTTCCTAAGCTCTATTATTATTATTATTCATTCATTATGGAGCATTGCTGACATGTTCATATTATGAGAGAGTGGCAGATCCAGGACGAAAACAAAGGGTGCATCATGTGTATCTATCAACCCGTGTTGTCGAGTTGGATTGGGTCAAGAAACTAGAGGCACTCCCAGAGTCCCAGGTATTGAAACGGACCCAGTGATCATGTGTATACAAGGAGCACAAATGTGCAGCAAGTTAGGCTTGGACTTCAGATTAAGCAAACCTGTTTTGTAATTGTCTTGCAACCTTACCCAATTGACTCCTGCTAGGGAAAAGTCTTCCTTCATAAACCCTAGGCACAGTACAGCACTAGACTATTTAGCGAAGTATAGTTTGTTTGGAGTCATGCAGTGTGCGATCATACATGTATGACGCCACAAGCCTGGTCCAATCCTCACGCATCACTTTTATATATTATTAGTGTGACAAGTTGCCAGAATGCCAGTGCAAATGTTTTCTTGCTAATATATAATAAGATCCTAATTATAATAGTAGTAATAATACTATGGACGGCCCAAGAGTCCAAGAGTATGTTAAGTGACATGCATTGGCAGGCATTCACAGGAATATGGCAGCTAGAGGGCCGGCCAGTTACAAAATGCCACTAGCTAACTGCCCTCCGGTTCCTGCCTACCTCTTCCAGAGTTCCAGGTCAAACATAAATACGAGTAGAACAGATATAATAAGCAGGGGGTGGAGGAGGGACCTGTTAGAACTTAGAACCAAGCCATCCACCAGACGTACATCTTGCCGAGGTTGCTGTGGGAGACTGCTTCAGCAATCAGGCGGCGTGCTTGGCCTTCCACAGAAAGTGGCAGAGAAGGAGCGGCGTTAACGCCTACCACAACTCCCTGGAGCCTTTCTGTGATGTTACTGATGGCCCTCTGAGAATTGGAAACAAGAGGTTAGATCAGAAGAATGCTGTGGTTGGTTTAGCGATGATAAACATACATGAGAGTGCTATGGCGCAGATCAATACCTGTGCATGTGGGTTTCGGACTTCCACTCCACTGGATTTATGAGATTTGGTCCACTCTACTAGCGGATCATGGATAAAGGTCTCAAGAACAGTCATGAGTGCCTCCTTGTGAGTTCTCAGAACCGATAGAGTAATTTCACAGACCTTCACAAACACGCCCTCATAACCAGTGATGCCCAAGCCATCAACCATGTTCTACAGTTAGAGATTTAGCACGATCATGTTAATACTTAACCAAAATCACAGGTTCAAAAAACTTCTGACAGGACACTACAAAACAAGGTTTCAGTGCTTACTTGTGTAAACCTGAATGGCACCACCTCAGGCTTCTCGAGCAGCAAGCCCTTGTCAAACAAGCAGCTGAAATCCACATGAATACAGTCCCCAGTAGTTGAATCGAGAAGGATGTTTTCACCATGTCTGTCACCAAGCCCAACAATATGCCCAACCATTGACCAAACTGCGGTTGTATGCGCATAAGCTGCCCTGGCACGGATCCATGCAGCTGGCTCAGAAAATGTAGTCAAGAACCATTTGTGGAAAACTGGGGGGAACATTGGAAGGATTTTAGCCTTCAGCATCTCCTCAGGCATTTTACCCTGCAATTGATCATATATCTTCTTGATTTGTGGGTTTGTTTTCATCCTATCGAATTTGCCACAAGTTATGTAGATATCCTGAAGAATTTGCCGAAGACCACGAGTATTGGGCACCCACTCTACCATTCCACAATCTTCTGTAAGCGGAACCACTGCAAAGGTTCTAATATAAAGCTTTCTCCTGCGGCTCTCAGGGACTTTGGAGAGAAGGCGGTTGATCATTGCATTGAACTCCATCATGCGCGAATCTTTCCTAAGATCATCCTTTGGTTTGCACAGAAATGGTCGAGAAATTCCATCACTTCCAATGAAAACAACCTGAAGTTCAAAACAATCATATGCTTGTCAGGTACCCTTAGCTTGGTGAAATGTGACAAAAATTAATTCATGACCATTTTGAAACAGTGGAAATAGACCGCATGGTGTGTCAACAAACAAATACCATATGTTAACAAGTGACCTAGAGTCCTAGACCCTTGATAACCCCATAACAGATCCAACCATTGACTTGAACGCCCTTTCCAATGGTCACACTCACACCCAACAAAATTTATGATAACTTTGAACACAAAATATAGTAATCTAGACAGTTACTGCTCCTCGAACAAGTGTAGTAGTCAAGCAAAGCAATATTAGATATACCTTCTTTGGTTTCTGAAGAGAGTTAAGGATCTCTGCATCATCAGCTATTCCGGCTATAGTAGGGTGCTCGGAAACTGAAAAGGGACGAAAAGTTGATTGATCTGTCATATTTGTATCATATGATGGTAGAGTCACAGTTAGAGCCTGCTGGATGGGTAAGATGATTCCTAACGGCATCATTCTTTTCAAGGAACTGAACTCTGTTGAGATATTTATTGCCCTTGCCTTTGGCTGCCCCGGATGAAAGCACAGCTTGATCAGATGATCTATCAAAGAAGGAAACTGCATGAATAATGCATTGCTGTCACTACCACGCCGACTGCCCTTCTTTGCTGATTGTAATATTTCAGCAGCAGCATCTCGTCTTGCAGCAACTGTTGACTTTGACACTGCAGCCATCATCCATAGAGCCTGCTGAGGGTACTCCCGTAAAATAGATGTGACGATGCATTTGACAAGTTTGACAACTTCAATATTTTGATGACAGATGCGGGAGATCAACTGAGACAGCACAGTTAACCACTGATATGGTGGTAGATCTTTCAAACACCCGCGCATAATGCCTAACAACTACAAGAAGTTGATTAGATCCCCTAAATAGATTAAAGCAATGAAAAACATGTGCCAAAAAAAAAAAAACTTACCCTTATATGAACTTCTTTCATGGGTTTATTGAAGGAAGATCCATCCTGGATATATATGCTTCCGAATTCAAACCAAAGAGTAAGCAATCGCGGTAACGCTTGAAAAAGATTTTTATGTCCTCTGTGAAGTCCTCTTGCATACTGTATTAAGACTACTGGAAGCATATCCCACCAAGGCTTCTCTTCAGTTGCTGTAGTTAAAGAACCAGTAGAGCTAGGAGGGACAGGTCCA